CTTCAAGACTGTTCTTCTTCCTACCCTCGATGTGCAACCTTCACTCTGGCTCCGCTATGTGGATGACATCTTTGCTCTGTGGCCTCATGACTCCAGTCTCTTCCAACCTTTTCTTGAAGCTCTTAATAATCTTGCCCCCTTCCATTAAGTTTAAAGCTGAATGGGAATCTAATTCCTTGCTTCCTTTCCTCGATGTCCATGTCCACCGCTCAGATACAGGTTTTTCCTTTTCCGTTTACCGTAAACCTATGCACAGTGGCATGTACATTCACTACTTTTCCTATCATGCTTCCCCTGTCAAGAAAAGTGTTTTTATCTCCCTCTTTCTCCGTGCCCTCCGCATCTGTGATCCTCAGTTCCTTCCAGCAGAAATTTTCCACTCTTCATAATTCGTTCTCCCGTCTTGGCTACCTTCCCATTTCATAGACTCTGCCCTCTCACGTGCTAAACGCAATTTCTTCTCTCCCAAACTCTCTACTCATGGGAAACTTTCTATCCTCTCCCTTCCCTACATTTCCGGTCTTTCTAATCTCAACAATTCTCTCCGTCCTTAGACATCAAGCTTACCTTCCGCCAGACTAACACTCTTCGCACTAATCTTGTTCATTTCCTCTCCTCCCTCTACAGATGTTCCTGGTGTCTACTCTATTTTCTTGCTCCTCATGTCCTCTTCAATACTTCGGAGAAACTGGTTGATCTCTTTCTGACAGACTTAGGGAGCACAAAAATAGTGTTAGGCTTGCCGACACTAACAATGCTCTTTTCTGTCACGTCAGAGATCATAGCCATCCTATTGACTGGTCTTCTGCTAAAACTGTCTTCCCTACTTCCAACTCAAACAGTCGCCGTCTAGTTGAATCCTCTCTAATACACAACTTTCCTTGTATGAACCTTAGCCCTGGCTTCGTCTCTGTAGATGCCTTCCTCTCCCACTACATTGTAAAATGCTCCAAACTTCAGAACACCCGTGACTTAACCTGAATCCTCATTTTTTCTTTTTCTTTTTCTTCTTCCTCTTCCCCTTTCCTTTTCTCCTCTGGGTTGTCTTTCTCTCTCCTGTCTCGTGTTTCTGTTCCTTCTTCATTTATTTCACCACTTTCCCTTTCACGCACCTCTGTGCGCTTGCTCTCCCTCTGTGGGCATCTAGCTCTCTTGCAGTGCTCCCCTTCCTTTGTATTTAACTGGCTCATCATCCTTATTTCCCACTTCTACCACTACCACTACTACTACCTCTTCTTCTTCTACTACTACTACAAATACTGATGAAATTAAGACACATGTGCGGCGTCTGGTTGTCTTTGTTGTGGACGTTTCGCCATCCAGTGGCTGGCTGGATGGCGAAACGTCTACGATGGGGATGCCCGGGTGTTGTGCAGGTGTCTTAATTTCATCTTGTCGGTATTATATACAATTCTTGTACTACTACTACTACTACCACCACCTCTTCCTGCCTATATATAGCCGTCCTGCTCCACCTCTGGTTAGTGTGACTTTGTCAATGGTCCAAGTCGGACCGAAACGTCGTCGTAAGCTTCTCTCTTTTATGTGCGGGTTATTTGTGTATCGTTCCAGTCATGGTATTGTGCCTTTTTGTTATTTATCAATGAGTGTATATTTGTACATTGCACCTAACTTTGGTGTCACAGGCCACATAAGTTACTTAGAAAAAAAAATATTGGAAAATACAAGAAACCTTTGAATTGGAATAAATAAATAGTATACCCGGTGAGCGGCATTCGCTGCTGTTGCCATATGTGGCTCATTTTCTGCCAACTTCACGCCTCTATATCTCATTAAGTACTGATTGTAATTTTTTTTTTAATCTTAAAACACTCAGCAAAATAATCCTAACATTTTGGTAAGAATTTTTTTTTTTTTTTCGAGTTTCAGAAATGGGTTTGTGGCAGTCAAAGTGTTAAAACACCAATTACCTTTCCGAACTGGATAAAACATTAAATTTTGATGGCAAGTGTTATTATCTAGAAAATTAGAACCCTAGCCCTTATCTAATGCCAAAACATGCGAGCTAATGTTTAATGATTAACCCTTTGACTGTTTCCGACGTATAAATACGTCTTACGAGCCAATGTTTCTGATGTATTTATACGCACAAATTCTAGCGGCTTCAAATCAAGCATGAAAGGCCTGGTAGGCCTACATGAGAGAGAATGGGTCTCAGTGGTCGGAGTGCACCCTGTGAAAAAAATCTGGGACCCAGCGGTGCATTGTGGGAACGCCATGTTGTTAGTCCATTTTCACCATGCCTCTCGGTAAGAAGTTCCTCACTCCTCGGCGGATTGGAGGTCTTTTGTTCCCAAGTGATAGCTCTAACAGCGATGAAAATGTCAGTGACAGTGAATTCCAGGGTTTTGAAGTGAGTGTTACTGGAAAAAAGTGCCAGGATAACGTAATTAGTGATGAAAACCCAGATGACCCACAACCTTCCAACTCTGGTGCTGGGCCGGCTTGTTCATGTTCACGTTCGCCTGTACCAGGATGAAAGAGGAAACTATTTGGTCGTGTACAACACCCAGATGTTAGCAGTGATAGTGATTTCAAGGTCATTGAAAGCAGTTCTAGTGACAGTGAGAGTGAATATTCCCCAGTGAAGCGGCAGTATGTACGACGTAGCATGCGGTCTGGTAGTGTTTCATATGTTGTTCCAAGGGGAAGGGGAAACTCTGGGAGCACATCCCGTGGCCCTACACCACGACCAGATAGTGAAGATGACGATATTGTAACGATGGGTATGAATGATGTGAGTGATGGAGCAGGCAGTGGTGGTGATAGTGAGGGTGGCACGGCCCATGTGGCACCATCAACGGGCCATGCTACTACCCACGCTGCTAACTCTGCACAACAGCCAGCCTCACCCTACCCCACACTCCCACAACCTGCACAACCACGGTACAATATCCAGACCCCACCAGCAGACCGCGTCTGGGACTGACAGGACGGTGACGAGTTTGTTCCCAGTCCCCATGACTTTGATGAAACACAAAGTGGAATAAAGCCATCTTGTCCACTTGGGAACAATGCCAGTGAACTGGACTGCTTTGAGTTATTCTTCGATGAACCCCTGATGGACATCCTTGTCAGGGAAACAAACACTTTACTGTGATTACACCATGGCAAATACAATTCTCTCACCAAAATCACGGCTACACAAGTGGAAGGAGACAACTGTGGCAGAGATGTACCTGTTTTTTGCCACAATAATGCTTATGCCACATGTGTATAAGCACACTGTTACCACATACTGGGCAACAGAACGCCTGATTTCAACTTCCAGGTTTTAGTGACATTATAGGTGTCAATCGTTTCCTGATACTGTTACGTATGTTACACTTTTCAGACAAAACCAGGCCTGACAGAAGCGACAGGTTATATAAGATCAGAAATGTGTTTATGTACCTGAAACAAAAGTGCTGCATGCATTTTTATCCCTTCAGGAAGCTTGTTATTGATGAGTCCTTGATTTTATTCAAAGGAAGACTCTCATTCAAGCAATATATACCAAGCAAGAGGAAATGCTTTGGTATAAAGCTATTTGTACTGTGTGATTGCAGAAGTGGTCTAGTTTTGGATATCATTGTGTACACTGGCAGTAATACTTTGAGAGATATCATGAAGTTATTGGGTATCTCTGGTGATGTGGTTCGAACAATGATGGAATCATATCTTGGTAAGGGGCATATGTTATTACTGATAACTGGTACACAAGCCCCTTACTCAGTGATTTCTTGCGAGTGAACTTGACAGACGTGTGTGTGGCACAGTGCGTGGTAATCCTAAACATATGCCAAGGTTCGACGCTGGCACTCGCAGAGGTGAGGTGCAAGCCTTTGCTGCCAATGACATCATGGCATTTTGGTGGCATGACAAACGTGATGTCACATTGTTGACATCAGTTCACAGAAACGAAATGGTACCCAGTGGCAGGGACAACAGAGAGAAACCCAATGAACCCATTCTAAAGCATGCAGCTGTCATGGACTACAACCTCAATATGTGCTTAGTGGACAAATGTGATATGCAGATTGGGTTTGCAGACTGTGTACGCAAGAGTTATAAGTGGTATACAAAACTTTTTTTCCATCTTGTTGATATCTCTATGCTAAATGCTTATAACATATACAAGTTGAAGACCAACAAAACACCAAAATATGGTGAATTTTGCCTGTCAGTAATCAGACAAATAATTGCAAAGTACCAAGGAGCAACTCCTGCAATAGACCAGCGCCCACACACGTCATCTCGTTTCAGGCCTGGTGATCACTACCCCATACAACTGCCTCCTACTACTGCCAAGAAAAATGCTCAGAAGAGGTGTTATGTAAGTATGCATATCACAAAATGCCCACAAACACGCAGAGACACTCGCTTTATGTGTGAGGAGTGTGAAGTGCCCCTCTGCATATACCCATGTTTCAAAGAGTTCCACAAGCTGCAGCAGTTCTTGGAACATGTTTAGTGACTGTACATATGTATTATATTATGGAACAATAGTAATAAACATTGTTTTGTATTGTTTGTTGTGTAAACAAAGTGTATACACAAACTAATAGTGATAAAGTTTGTTCTGTTATTGTGTTGTAAACAATAAGTGTATATTTGAACAATGCACCTTAAAATTGGTCTCACAGGCCACGTAAGTTACCTGGAACAGAAAAAATATTGAAAAATGCAAGAAACCTTTGAATTAGAGTAAATAAAAGAATACCGGTGGTGGGCGGCAGTTGCCGCTGTTGGCCGTACGCACATCACTTTCTGCAAACTTTGCGGCTCTATATCTTGGTAAGTACTGATGGCAAAAAAATTTTTTAGGCTTAAAACACTCACAAAAATATTCCTAACATTTTCATAAGTAAATTTTTTTTTTTTCGAATATTTGGCGACATAGAATGACAGTTTCAGAGAGGGGCCTGAAACAGTCAAAGGGTTAAAGACAAGACATGGCAGATAAAACTATTTAAATCTGTCAGTTCTTTTACAAAAGTAAATTCTTTTAAAACTTACTTGTTTTCTTTTTTCTCAATCACCTCAGCAGTGGTTGGGCCATGATCGATCCAAATTCTTTTCCCAACACTCTTAAACTTGTAGCTATCCTGGAATTATTGAAGAACAAATTAGACAAAAACACAGTATAATATCAATCAATTAATCTAATTTTAGTTAATTCAGTTTTATTCTATAAAACTGTGAACAAGAATCTTTTTTGTTGTTACTTTGAATTTTTTTTAAAATACTGCATGTTTTTTTCTTTAAATGGAGTTTGCAAAGCAAGTGCTGTAATCCATGCAGTCCTATTAAAATATCTATATATAAAAACCTTCAAAGTTTTTTTTTATTGAGGGATGAGGGAACATTATGTATCAGATAATGTGCCACAGATTCTAGCTTTTGTGATAAATTTTAAAGAGACTGATTAAAACCATACAGCCTCTCCTCACTTCATGATGGAGTTAAGGGCCTAAGACCCTGCTGGTAAAGGAATTCGTCGTTAATCGAGGAATCACCCCTTACTGACACTTCAAATGTGTCACCACCCAAAATTAAGACATTCAGCTTGATGTTGGCTGGGAAATTCCTACAATGTTTATTATTAATGGTAATACAATATGAAATAGGTCAACAACTTCAGAGATATTCCAGAAAACGCGTGCATAGCTGATCACTTGATTGTTTTCTTTTTTCAAGAAAAACCACACACTTTCAGTCTTTGCATAGGCTAAAAGTGATTTCTATAGTTACCCTTCAGGTGTCTAGCAATGTTTTCTGTAATGGTCGCATTCACCTTTTTTTTTATCCCTCCCTGCCCTCCATCCTTCAATACCTCTCTATATGTCAGTTTTCATTAATTTGGGCATTTCAATTATGCTTCAACATTATTTATGTTATACCTAATATTATTCTGGAATATATATTGATAGTAATAGTATAATTATACAATATTTTATGGGGCGGTAAGGTACATCTCCTTGCAGCAAGGTGTAGCATCAGTTACTGAGACACTGCTTGCTTCTGTCTCTGCTATAGCTCCGCCACTTTGTAACCACGCCAAATGGTGAATTAAATAAGTATACAGTAGGGCCCCGCTTTACGGCGCTTCGCCTTACAGTGTTCCACTAATACGGTGATTTCAAATTATGACCAAAATTTGCTATTCGGCAAGCGGTCTTTCAAATACGGTGCGCCCCACCCGGTTTGTTTACATTCTCCATGAGCACATCTATTATGTCTGGAAACTTTCCAAAATTTCAAGTGTTTTAAAGGTACAGTGGACCCTCGACTAATGATATTATTTCATTTCAGACGTCTGTTCAGGTGCTGTTACCGACCAAATTTGTTCCATAAGGAATATTGTGAAATAGATTAGTCCGTTTCAGACCCCAAAAAATTCACGTACAAAAGCACTTACAAAAATACACTTACATAACTGGTCGAGTTGGGAGCTGATCGTTAATCGAGGGTCCACTGTATTGTGTATTTTATATGTAATTTGATAATTACGCTTAAGTGTACCTGTACCTAAATATACTTACACACTGTGCTGGCATGCAGGTACACACTAAATCACTAAGAGTCTCTCTACTCGTGACGCCATAGTAATACTACGTAATAATAATCTCTCTTGGGCACATTAAATGTCTTATTTTACATTAATATAGATATATTCATTAATCCATCTATGATATTTTCTTCAAAATTATATAAGAAACACGTTACATAGCATATAAACATTTTGTTTACAAAGCGGCTTTGTAGGAGTGTCGGAAGAATTACTTTTTCTCTAGTCAAACACTGGGGGATGACTGTAGATAAATATTCCTTTCGTATGCCTTCACTCTATATATAGCAATTCACAACCCCTGTGGGCTTACTGCCTCTTATTATATAATAATAACTTGTAATAATAATAACTTATAATAATAATTTGTAATAATAATAATTTGACAGAGCATCATTCCTTCTAAAAATTACATGAAATGGAAGCGTTGGTATTTATTTACTCTACTGTACCACTGTGGAGACAACCTGTACACAATGTAAGGTGTTTGTATGAATGTTTATGAACCATAAGCAGATGCATCGTCTGTTTGTTTACATAGTGGGTGGGGTGGCCAGGCTGGCTTCCCTACACTACCCTACTACCACACCACTTTCTATAGATAAATACTTTTCACTTTTCACCCTACATTAAGACTTCGCATATTTTAAGGGAAGTAATGAGTGTACTGTATATGAATTTTATCACTCTGTGGAGCTTTAAGCATCGTTGTAGTATATTATGTGTGAGTGGGGTGGCCAGGAGGGCTACCACACCTAACTTCTTAAGAGTAAATACTACTAACCTTTTGCCCTACATTAAGACTATGAATATTCTGAGGTAAATAATGAGTGTACTGTATGTGTATTTTACTTTTTATTGTGTTTAATGCCTAGTTCGATTGCTAACTTAATATAAACTTGTTATCTGGCATTTGCATGCATTTGTAAGTAGAAAAAATGGCGTTCTGCTTTCCGGCTATGTCTGCTTTCCGGCAGTAGCCTGGAATCTAACCTGCTGTGTAAGTGGGGCCCTACTATATTAGAAAGAAAAAATAAAATAAAAATGAAACTCCAACTAGGTAACTATTTTAATTTGCATAATGCTTATATGTCACAGAAAACAATAAAAAAGTAAAATACACATACAAGTTAAGCTTACAGAAAAATAGCTTAAGAATCTGGCAACATTTAGGAATAAGTATCATCTTTGTACCATGTTTCTACAAAGAATTATAGTCCTTTTACAAAAATTACTTTAATGGCACGGAGAGTAATACACCTACCATCCAACTTACGACCGAGTTCGGTTCCGAGAAACCGGTCGTAAGTCGAACTTTACTACTGAATATCAAGAAAACATTTTTGTAATGACTATTTTATTGTTTTATTTTGGTATTTCACGTTTTACTTTACTTTTTATGCTGTTAGTACTGTATTTTATACTGTAAGGTTTAGGATAAACACTTTGTACAACACAAGTAGTTGTTTATTTCCCAGAAATTTGGCATAAAAAACACGGTCGTAAGTCGAGTGGTCGTAAGTCGAGCAGGTCGTAAGTCGGATGGTAGGTGTACTCACCTAGTTGTACTCACCTAGTTGAGGTTGCGGGGGTCGAGTCCGAGCTCCTGGCCCCGCCTCTTCACTGATCGCTACTAGGTCACTCTCCTGAGCCGTGAGCTTTATCATACCTCTGCTTAAAGCTATGTATGGATCCTGCCTCCACTACATCGCTTCCAAACTATTCCACTTACTGACTACTCTGTGGCTGAAGAAATACTTCCTAACATCCCTGTGATTCATCTGTGTCTTCAGCTTCCAACTGTGTCCCCTTGTTACTGTGTCCAATCTCTGGAACATCCTGTCTTTGTCCACCTTGTCAATTCCTCTCAGTATTTTGTATGTCGTTATCATGTCCCCCCTATCTCTCCTGTCCTCCAGTGTCGTCAGGTTGATTTCCCTTAACCTCTCCTCGTAGGACATACCTCTTAGCTCTGGGACTAGTCTTGTTGCAAACCTTTGCACTTTCTCTAGTTTCTTTACGTGCTTGGCTAGGTGTGGGTTCCAAACTGGTGCCGCATACTCCAATATGGGCCTAACGTATACGGTGTACAGGGTCCTGAACGATTCCTTATTAAGATGTCGGAATGCTGTTCTGAGGTTTGCTAGGCGCCCATATGCTGCAGCAGTTATTTGGTGATGTGCGCTTCAGGAGATGTGCCTGGTGTTATACTCACCCCAAGATCTTTTTCCTTGAGTGAGGTTTGTAGTCTCTGACCCCCTCTGAGCATGTGAATTTTCAGAATTTTTTTCAGATTTTTTTTTTAATGTTTCTAATACATTAAATTCACCATCTAACATCATTACAAAGTGGGAGGAACTATTGGAGGCACAGAGGAGGTGAGCAGCAGCAATCAGTATCTGGTGAATTGTCATGGGTGTTGGATGTTAGCCAAGGCGCTAATAAAATGTTGTGTAATTATGCTAATAGTACTAGTAATAAAGGTTATCTATCACATTTATTCAAATTGATATCAGAAACACGATAAATACCCTAGAACTGTATCAAGATGCCAAAATGAATAATATATGCCACATTACGTGAGGGGTAAGGGCAGAGGCTGCCATTCTCTTATCTGTACTCCTGGTCTACAACGAAAGAAAATGGTGTTTAAATCAGGGTAAACACTCCTAATTACTCTTAAAGAAAAAAAACACAAAAATAGCATGATTTTTCCTGTTTTTTTTCTGAGTCATATGCTATGCTCACTGTCTCATGGCATCTTAAGAAAAGATTAAATTCGGTGAAAAGGTATGTTGATGGTAATAATACATAATTTATAATAATCTTATAATAATAATAATTTATAATTATAATAATAATTATAATAATATAATAACAAGACGATGTATTTACACTATTTACTGTAAATATTTGTCAATAAGATATCCCAAACAATATCTGAAAAAAGAACGATTTACTGAAAATATCCTTTGGCAGGATTGTAGTCCTATATGGGACGACATAAGGTTGTTTGGGCACTTGGTGCCGAGAGACAATGCTAATACGAAATTTTAATGACCCACTTTCCTCTAAATATCTTATCTTTATTCCACAAAAAAATGTTTGTTAGTTCTTAGACTTTTGCAAAAAATCTGCCCTTTACTCCCACATAAATCCTAAAATATTTGGAATATTTCCAAAAGTGCATCACTAAAATTAAGAACAATCATTATTTTACAACTTCTGTGAATATTATCCTACTTAATTAAGTAATAAAGGCGTAGGAAAGAGAAATAAGTGAATAAGTTACTTCCGATTTATAGGCCTGGAACGCCGTCTCGAATTTTTTTTGTTTTGTTTTCACGAAAATCCTGTTTGTTTCAGTGGTGTCCTTAGTAAACTGATGTTCTAATGCAGTTATCCACTTCAAAAGACCGTTTTCTCTTACTGAAGGCCAAAGAATACAACATGGAGACGAGGGGTAATAATTTTATATCGAATATTGCTGGTGGACTCTCGCCATATTATGGCCTATTTTATTCAGTTTAGAGTATATAACATGTTTGTTATTTATAGTGTTTATTTTATCATATTAGATCAATTCTGATAGATAAATAAGCCGTGGAGTTGATATAAGCATAATAATTAAAGTGATTTCTCCTGCCTCTCTCTGGAGCGGGAATACTGCTGGTGTTCCCAAATGGTTGGAAGTCTACGGATAAGCTCCGCCTATTTTTTTTATGATGCCAAATAGTCAATTATTATATTAGAAAGAATAATGCAAGAAATAGCGATAAAAAACAAGGAAAATTCTAAAAAATATACGGGTTGAGAGAGACGAGCTTCGCACATCGCCATCACCATACCTGATATAAATGACTAATTTCTTTTAGAAACGTCGTTGAACATTGATTCTGGTACGATTGTGTTCCCAAAAGAGTTAAGCTATTTTTCTATATAAATAACTCAATTTCATAATTTTTTTAAAAAATTTTGCTCGCGCGCCGCACACATCATACCGCCCCTTAAATGTCATATGTATTTCATATAGGTTTGGTAGCTGACATTTAAGCACTCCAGAGCATTATTATTATTAATTATATTATTATTATTATTATTATTATTACCATCCACATACCTAGTTCACCGAGTTAATCATTTCTTAAGCCGCCACAATACACACACACATGAACACACCAGCTGACCCCTTTACTGTGAACCTTTTTTGTACTTCTTCCATTTTCCTTTTGTTTTTGTTTTTTTGTTTTTTTGTTTTGTTTTCCTCTTGCAAGTGCTGCTGTACTTCTAACTCTATTTTCTACTATGGGATGCACAATAAAGTACAGATTTATAGACAAAATATGTAGTCTTGGAGATTGCTTGATGCTGAAATGCATCACTAACCCCCTTGACAATGAAATTATTTGTACTTCTTCCATTTTCCTGTTGTTATTCCTTTTCCAAGAGGAAAAAAAAAAAACAGGAAATTTGTACAAATAAGTAGTCTTGGAGACTGTGAAAGCTAGTTTCTATCTGGAGTTTATCTGGAGAGATTTCCGGGGGTCAACGCCCCCCGGCCCGGTCTGTGACCAGGCCTCCTTAGGTCAGTGTCCCAGGATGCGACCCACACCAGTCGACTAACACCCAGGTACCCATTTTACTGATGGGGAACATAGACAACAGGTGGAAAGAAACACGTCCAATGTTTCTACTCTGGCTGGGAATCGAACCCAGGCCCTCGTCGTGTGAAGCGAGAGCGTTAACCACCAGGCCACCAGAGTGGCTGTAGAAAAGAGATTCAGATGCTTGACGCTGAGACGCTGCCCTGCCCATTCACGACCCAAGTACGTACTTGTACAGTACACAATAACTCGTCCAAACGCCTGTCGTAACTCCATCGGTAAACGAGTACGTCAGTAAGTGAGGAGAGGCTGTATTATTAATTTTTAGTTGTTCATCATCAAGTTGTTTATTTCTTATACAAGGCATCAGAAGAAAACAGATGAACTCAAAATGAAGCAAAATTTGCATTTTCTATTTCCAAAATGCTCATCGTTCATCACTCAGATTGGCAAGTTTGCTATTTTTTACCTTGCCTATTCCCACTGAAAATAAAGGGATGTCTGATCTTGTGATTATACCCAAAAACTGATTTGGCTCCCAATAAAACCAACAAACTTGCCACCATGAAGGTCAGAAGGAGAGTGTCTACACTCAGGAGGGGTGTGAGTGTTGCAGTTGGAGAATTATTTGAACTGTGATGTTAGCACACCTCTGGCACTGAGGGGAAGGGGGGTGTCACCCTACTTTAGTGAGGAAACACCCAATTAGATAGGGAAAAAACACTTATGCACAAATCACTGACTACAAAATAAAGGTACTTTTTGCGAGGAAAAATTTATAAAACGTAACACCAAAGTACGCTACTTACAAGATGGGGCATTTACTTTTCAGTTCCTCAGGTACAAGAAAAGGTTGTCTTTTAGGTTCCTTTACAACATTTGTACATTTCGTCCACTCTGTAAGATTACCCTTACACACATAGCCTTGACCATATCTGAAAATGTGAATGTCAAGAAATAATATACAGTATTACATTATAAAAACAATTGAATAATTTGCATTTGAGCAACTAAGGGCAGATCTCAGTGGCCCCCCCCCCAAAAAATGCTGAATGAAATGCATAGAAAGCTATTTTAAACTGAAAAAAAGATGAGGGTTAATTGAGGAAGGAGTAGTGTAGCTCTGCTCACACTGCTGCACCCCCTGTTAATTTCCCTCACAGAAGCACAAGAGGACACCAGTCTAATGCTGAATGAATTTGGTGAGGAGAAAAGTTAGCACAGTAAAGCCTACCATGATATAGTTCCAGGCATTCATCACATTTTTAATATCCTATCAAGAGAATTTTACCAAATTCATACAGCCTTAACTTTCTAATAATTTTGCATTTACTCATTAACTATGTAGATTCCTTATAAAGAATTTTGAAATATCTCAAGAGCACACATCACCTGTTCAGCACTTACGCCAACAATAACCTAATGAAATATTAGCAACACAGTGTTCACAATAAAACCTGATATCTTTTCGGCTAACATACAGTATAATAAACAGTGCTTGCACTCTGAAGGAGGGGTGCAGAAGTTGCAGTTTGAGGGGGAATCTGAACTGTAGTATTGGCATGCCTTTGGAAAGACAGCAGAGTGAGTAATGGTTAAAGAGTTTCTTTTTCAGGTCAGCGGCCATCTCCCACCCTACTTTGGTGGGAGATGGCTAGTGATTGAATGAAGATTCACAAAGTTATTTGGCAATGCATACCATTTGCACTCTGGCTTTTCCTTATGTCTCATGAACACACAAGACAATAGATAATCTTGCAAGCTTATACACTCTTTGCACTCAGTAAACACCTAGCTTTACTTTACTGTGTTTGTCAGTAGTTCTAAATTTCCTCCCAAAACAGTAGACAGCAACTATTCAAAGAGGCACTACAATTAGGATTTGACATGTTGGAATGTGAGCAGTGTAACAGTTCGAAGAGATTTAGAACTGGTTAGCCAGACTGTACTTCATTTGAAACTGTGAGGTCCATGAACTTTCAGAAACACAGCTAGACACTCAGTAATAGTGAATGTGTTTCATTTTTAGGGTCAATTGCCTAGGTAGGAAATATGCCGCATTAAAAAATCTTGAAAATATTGTAAATTCTCTAAATGCTCTACTATTACATTCATAGAGGCACAATTAACCCATAGGGGCATACAGCACCTGGGGAAATCCAACTAAAATATTCAGTTAATACTTACACATAACGGAAATTTATTTCTTTGCAAACTTCACAAGGCTCAAATGCTCCAAAAGTCATTATGTCAACAACTGCATCAAGAATCTGAAAAATAGCAGATTAACATTAAATAGCAAAAGGACATTAAATCCATGTTGTGTTAGCATAAAATGTCCATAGTGGCCTAACTGGCTCTCAGGCCTTTTATAAAGTCATTTTTAATTGACTTACAGGTCTTTTTTAAAGCTAATGAAATGAGGCCATTTTTTTTTTATTTCACAATAATCTTTCCTCTTTAAAATGTTTTACTATCATCAATAGGAATCCTAATGGACTTAGGGTGTGACATGCCCACCACCCATCACTCAGTAATACAAACAACTAAACCCTTTTTGCAATACAGAGGAACATGAGCTGGGGACCCATCTTCCTACTTTAAGCCAAAACAAAATATGGAATGCTAGAGTTATTAACTCTGAGGAGAGCATGTTCATTTTAAAGATGGGATGATTACAGAATAATGGTGGAAAATATGTGAATTTCAGGTATGACTGGAAATTCCAGAACAATTTTTTTCCCACATTTCCCATTTATCACAAAGGTTGGATGAAAAAAAAAATCATCATTTACTTAAGGGGGTGACAATGCCATGTTTAGTGGATGATACGCCATACATGACTCAGGCCAAAGCTAAAGTCAGCAGAGATATGAGATGCCTTTATCTCCTCTCCCAAGTTATTTTTTTTTTTCCAACAAGTTGGCCTCAGTGGGAGACGGCCGACTTATTGAAAAAAAAAAAAAAAAGTTGGCCATCTCCCACTGAGGCAGGGTGACTCTAAAAGAAAGAAAATCCCCAAAAAGAAAATACTTTCATCATTCAACACTTTCACCTCACTCATACATAATCACTATTTTTGCAGAGGCACCCCGATAAAACAGTTTAGAGCATATACAGTAGGGCCCACTTTTATGGCGTTCCTCTAATACGGCGATGTCAAATTATGACCAAAATTTGCTATACGGCAAGCGGTCTTTCAACTACGGCGTGCCCCACCTGGTTTGTTTACGGTCTCCATGACCACATCTATTATGTCTGGAAGCTTTCCAAATTTCAAGTGTTTTACAGTTATTGCATAATTTATATACAGGTTCCGTCAACATTCGTGTTTTCAACTTTCGTGGACTTCACACATTCGTGAATTCCCAACTGCCAAATTCCCAGCCTCCAAATTCCCAGCCGCCAAATCATATTAAGTTTCCCGCCACCTGCGAGTCCCTACTACCCTCCCTCCTACCCCTGCAACTGGCAGCCAGCCCTCCCACCAGTGTGGCGAGTGTTTTGTTTGTTCATTATTTGCTATTAAACTACAGTATAAATAATGTAAACCCATTCATGACTGCATATTGGAATGGCTATTTGGACAGGTATTGGACAGTGACATCATGTGTTTACTCTTGAACACAGCAAAGAATCAAACATTTCTGCTACTGCTAATAATAACAATAGTAATAATAATAATAATAATAATAATAAATGCGATAGAACTGAAGAAGGAAATTGTACAAAAATGCGAGGGAGTGATTGACACATCGTCAGTGTGGCTTTGTTTATGCTGGAGTGAGCATTAGTCTCTGTGCTCTTCCAAACATTTCACAATAATTCACTGTTTGGTGCTTGTAGATTGAGTGCGACTGGAGTGGTAGAGGCAGTGGTTGAGGAAGCGGTTGAGGCAGTGGGCGAGGCAGTGGGTGAGACAGCGGGTGAGGCAGTGGGTGAGGCAGTGAGCGAGGAAGCGGTTGAGGCAGTGGGTGAGGCAGTGGGTGAGGCAGTGGGTGAGACAGCGGTTGAGGCAGTGGGTGAGGCAGTGGGCGAGGCAGTGGGTGAGGCAGTGGGCGAGGCAGCAGTTGAGGCAGCAGTTGAGGCAGTGGGTGAGGCAGTGGGTGAGGCAGTGGGTGAGGCAGTGGGTGAGGCAGTGGGTGAGGCAGCGGGTGAGGCAGCGGGTGAGGCAGTGGTATTAAATAACATACATGTTAATAATAATAATAATAACAATAAATGTTAATATTATGTATTATTATTATTTATAACATGTTATTAAATACCACTGCCTCAACTGCTGCCTCAACCATTGCCTCAACTGCTGCCTCAACCCCTGCCTCTACCAGCGCCTCAACCGCTGCCTCAACCGCTGCCTCAACCGCTGCCTCAACCGCTGCCTCAACCGCTGCCTCAACCGCTGCCTCAACCGCTGCCTCAACCACTGCCTCAACCACTGCCTCAACTGCTTCCTCAACCACTCCAGTCGCACTCAATCTACAAGCACCAAACAGTGAATTATTGTGAAATGTTTGGAAGAGCACGGAGACTAATGCTCACTCCAGCATAAACAAAGCCACACTGGCGATGTGTCAACCACTCCCTCGTATTTTTGTACAATTTCCTTCTTCAATTCTATCGTATTTATTATTATTATTATTACTATTGTTATTATTAGCAGTAGCAGAAATGTTTGATTCTTTGCTGTGTTCAAGAGTAAACACATGATGTCACTGTCCAATACCTGTCCAAATAGCCATTCCAATATGCAGTCATGAATGTGTTTACATTATTTATACTGTAGTTTAATAGCAAATAATGAACAAACAAAACACTCACCACACTGAGCGGTGGGAGGGCTGGCTGCCAGTTGCGGGGTCAGAGGGAGGGTAGTAGGGACTCGCAGTGGTTGAGGAAGTGGTGGAGGCATTGGTGAAGGCAGTGCTATTTAATAACATACATGTTATTAAGCCATAACATGTACGTATTTAGTACAATTTACGACGTTTTCGTGTATTTTATGATTGTTCATGGTTCAACAAGTTAAGGAAGCAGTATTGTATTATATTTCCCTACAATATTTTGGGGCACCAAACATTCGCGGCTTTTCAACATTTGCGAGGATCTTGATCCCCTAACCCTCGCGAATGTTGAGAGAGACCTGTATATATATATTTTTTTCAACAAGTCGGACGTCTCTGATAATTTTACTTATGTGTACCTGTACCTAAATATACTTACACACTGTGCTGGTGTGCAGGTACACATTAAAATCGCTAAGAGTCTCTACTCATGACGCCAGTAGTACGTAATGATCATCACTCTTGAGCACATTAACCCTTTGACTGTTGCAGGCCCCTTTCTGAAACTGTCATCTTTTTTTTTTTAAGTAATGATAGAATATCATTTCCCAATGGTAATGACACCAAAAGTACGAAATTTGGTCGAAAACTCACACCTCCTAATATCCACATTCCAAATTCTCTGCATAATATTTACACCATACATTACCCTTAGGCAGGACATCTCCACTGCCTCCAGCCACCTTCTTGCTGCAGCATTTACAACCCAAGCTTCACACCCATATAAGTGTGTTGGTACCACTACTTTCGTACATTCCCTCTTTGCCTCCATGGATAATGTTGTTTTGTCTCCACAAATACCTCAATGCATCACTCATAAACCCATCCGCTGATATGTCAACTCCCAAATACCCTAACCTGAGACTCACTATCCTCATAAAAACTCTTTACAGCATTTAATAACTTACCACCTATTCCATATACTTGCAACATCTGCCACATTGCTCCTCTATCCACTCTATCACATGCCTTTTCTAAATTATATAAATTATTTGTAATTTTTATTCACACAAAAATTATAAGATTTACTGTTATTCCTTATTGCAATAATTGTATAAATATGTCAACCCATTCACGATTGCATATTGGAATGGACAGTGACGTCATTTGTTTACTCAAACAGCCAAGCAATGGACAATTTCTTCTAGGTTGAGCTCAATTTCAAGGCACTTTTCATCATGAAAGCAATCAAAATCATATCTATTTCTGTAATATATCTTCCATTCTATCAAATGAGACCAAAAAAACGAGAATACAACCATAAAAACCATTCGAAATTACCACTAAGGGGTGGCTAATTGCTGAGAAGTGAACTCCATTATTTATACTTAGATTTCTTTCATTTTTGGTGTACATTAAGAAGCATCTTTCCATCATACATTGCCCAAGTTTCGATAAGATAGTCCAACAAACAACTGAGATACAATTCCCGAGATCAAGAGCAAGAGCCCCTCACCAGTGTCAAGGAACCTGCCTTGAGGTCTGCTCGCTTGTGGAAATTTTGCTCGCGTATGGAAGCAAAAAATCGACCCATCGACTGCTCGTATTTGGAAAAACTTGCACGTGGACACGCTCGCAAGTAGAGGTTCCACTGTATATTAAACAACCATGGTAACATTACACATCCCTGTCTAAGACCTACTTTTACTAGGAAGTAATCTCCCTCTCCTACACACCCTAACCTGAGCCTCACTATCCTCATAAAAACTCTTTAGAGCATTTAGTAACTTACTACCTATTCCACACACTTGTAACATCTGCCACATTGCTCCCCTATCCACTCTATCATATGCCTTTTCTAAATCCATAAATGCAATGAAAACTTCCTTACCTTTATCTAAATATTGTTCACATATAAGCCTTAATGTTTACACTTGATCTACACATCCCCTACCCACCCTAAAGCCTCCTTGCTCATCTGCAATCCTACTCTCTGTCTTACCTCTAATTCTTTCAGTACTAAGCCTACCGTACACTTTACCCCTACTCACTCCAACCGAAACAGCAGACTTAATGTTTTCTTCTCCACCATAGGAAAAAACTAGCAAACAAAATACAAGCACCAAACGCCCATCCATCAGACTACCTCATAGGAACCTACCCAAATACGCTATTCCTAGCTCCAACCAACCCCACTGAAGTTATGCTCATCATAAACACCCTTAAAAACAAGGCAGGAGACATAAACAACTTGCTTGCTTTTATGTACAAAAAAAGTATTGTCACCAATTATTGCAACGCTCTTTAACAAATCCACTGAATCATCTACCTTCCCAACAATCCTCAAATTAGCGAGGGTCACTCCGATCCATAAAGGAGGTGACCAAGCTGACTTGAATAACTATAGACCAATATCTAACTTACCACTGCTCTCTAAAATCTTTGAAAAATTAATTCATAGATGTATCAATTCTTACCTCAT